ATGACCCATTTTTCGAGGATCAGCAGGCCCAGGAAGCTCGTAGGGAACCTGGTCCTCAGCCGGTCTGGTCTGGCAGGGGCCAGCCCAGGCAGGCCTGCAGAGGTGGGTGTGGGGTAAGATGGGGAGAGCGGACAAATGGCTTCCAGGGCCTTCCCCAGGGGCAGGGTTTCCACAGGCACCCAGAGTCCAGGAGGAGCTCCCCACTTCATCAGCAGGCCCCAGCGTGAGTCCAGCAATCCGCAGATGGGGAACTAGAGCTCAGTGAGGGCACAGGTGCCTCTCCTTCCCTGGGCCTGGCCCCGGCCGGCGCTCTGCAGGACGTTAGAGATGCACTCTCGGCCTCCTGGGCCCTGAGCTGGCAGGTGCAAAGGAGGTGGTCCAGATGTGCCCCTGGGGAGTTTAAGGGGCTGCAGGCCGGCTGAGGGGCCCATGGGGGGCGGCTGCAGAGAACGATGTGGGGCTCTGTGCTAGAAACTCATAGCTGAGCATTTGGGAACATGCGTGGGGGAACCTACTGTCAGAAGGCGAGATTGATGTGGAGCTGGAAATAAGGGACCAGCAAAGAGGGCTCCTACCGTGCACCTGTGGAGATCAGTGGGGGCTGCTTTGGATGAAGACGTTCTGAGTTAGGCCAGGGGACTCCATGATCAATGTGGGGATCCTCAAGGCACTGCACTGGATCCTCAAACTCAAGGGTTCATCTGGCCAAACCAGGCGGGAGAGAGGGGTGCTTACCCCAGGCCCTAATGTGAGTGGGCCCCTCACCTTCCCCGACTCTGAGGAATCTATGGTTGAGACTTCCCAGCTGCATTCCCAGAACACCCCAGCATGGGGGCCAGGGAACCCCCCACTCCCAGCCCCCCGGGAGCAGTGTCCAAGCCTGATCAGCAGGGAGGGGCTGGCAGTGGGGGACCCGGGCCTCTCTCCTGAGATGTTAAGTCACAGCCCCAGTTTCACTCCCTCAGACACGCCACCTGGAGCAGATTACACGCCCCCCCTGTAGGACATCACACCCCACAGCCCTCTCCTCCTGGCATGTATGAGGATTAAAACAGCATTTCCCAGAGTGTGGCTGGCTGGTGGGCTGCTGGTGCAGGAATTCTGGAAGCACCTAGGAGGGAATGAGGAAGCACTGGGTAGTATTTTACTCCTGTTTGTTTATCTAATATTTGTGGGGCTTTTTTTTTTAAGATTTTATTTGTTTGAGAAAGAGCATAAGTGGGAGAAGGGGCAGGGGCAGAGGTAGAGGGAGAAGCAGGCTCTCCATGGAGCAGGAAGCCCAAAATGTGGCTTGACCCCAGGATTACGACCTGAGCCAAAGGTAGACACTTAACCAACTGAGCCACCCAGGTGCTCCCTAATATTTTTTATTTCTATTGAAAAAAAGTATGCCACTGCCACATGAAATCTTCAGTTTTTGAAAGAGTGTTAAAGTCAAGGCTAGGCTGAAAAAAGAGAAACACAAAAAGAAAGAGAAGCAGAAAGAAATGATCTAAATAAAATAATATAAGTGGGACCAGTGGTATTTGTTCCTGGTCTGTCCTCCCCACCGCCCCCCACACACAAGACAACCCCATAAGAGCAGGGATTTCATCTGACTTGTCTCCAGTTGTGTCCCTAGCGCTCGGAACAGCGCGCACTTGGCACATAATAGGTGCTCAATAAATACGAGTTGAATGAATAGTAAAAATTAAGAAACCCACACTCAAATGCCCGACTTGGAATAAATAATGGAATAACACACATAACATTCTCAGCAGCGCCCAGCACAGAAGTACTAAACAACATTCATACCCTTATTCTGATGAAAGTCATTATTATTTACAGGCAACAAAAAAGCATACTGGCCAAATCCTGACCAGCATTAAAATCCAGACAAGCCCAAAGCTGAGTATCACCATCCAAGGATGAACTTCTTGAAACATAAAAACAAATCTAAAAACATATTAAACATTTATCACTGTCACAATCTTTTTATCCACAATCACAGCAGGCAAATCTTTCAGGTCAAACACTTTAGTGAAGGACAAGGTCTCCACTTGGCCACCGGCCAACCTGCTCCTACAGTCCATGAGTTTCTGTGGCGGTTCTAAAACACGGCCCCAATTTTTTTCAACGGATTGAGATGGGGGTCTGTCTCTCTCTGCTCTTCTGAGTCTGGGCAGGTTTGTGACACCTTCAACCGACTGAGTAGAGCAGAGAGAGGCTGGGGTGTAAGAGGCAGTGTTTGCAGAAATGTTCACTGAGGAATCAGAGACCCCTAAGGTGTCCCAATGTCCTGAGGCAGCCGTGCTCAGAGGCTGGTGGGCTGGTATTGGAGCCCAGCCTCTGAGCCGCTCCAGCCCAGGCACCAGACGTGCGAGTAAAGCAGCTTCCCTACTCCTGTCTCTGTCCACCAAGTCCCTCCATCCTTGAGATCTTTGAGACCGTGACATCACCGAGCAGAGCCAAGCAGTCCCTGCTGCTCTCGTTTGACTTTCTGAGCCACAGAATCCACGAGCATTCTAAGATGGTCACTATTTTACGCCACTAAGTTTGGGCTGGTTTGTTATGCGGCGAGGGAACGAGAGCCGCTGCCCACATGATACCACAGGATTTAAATAGTGTTACTTTTCTGCAGAAACGAAAATCCATTCCCTGCTCGCACCACTCCTTGAACGTTCACAGTAATAATTTCTGATCATCACAATCACTGTTAATCACGATGGCATTTTCCTTGTAAGATAACTATTGTGAAAGACTGCGTTGCTCCTTCCGCTTGACTGGGAGGATGCCAGCCGAGGAACCACGTGCGAGGCTTTCCATTCCAACTTACATCCGGCAGCCTTTTCTATATTTGCAAGTGAATATTCAGCACATAGAAGCACTGACTGTGGATGCAAAGCCTTGCTTGAGCTCCTGATATGGTTACACTGGGTGGGCCGGATTCTTCTGGCTCAGAGATGCCCACCGGTGACATGGAAGTGAAGAATATGGATGGTCAATTTTTCTGAAGATCAAGATGCCAGCAGAACATCAAGACAACCCTATATTTTTTTTAAAAATTTATTTATTTATCTAACACAGAGAGAGATCACAAGTAGGCAGAGAGGCCGGCAGAGGTGAGGGGAAGCAGGCTCCCCACCAAGCAGAGAGCCCAACGTGGGGCTCGATCCCAGGACCGAGATCATGACCTGAGCCAAAGGCAGAGGCTCAACCCACTGAGCCACCGAGGTGCCCCAAGACAACCCTGAATTGTCATCATGGTTCTAACAGCTATGTGGCTCCTTGGGGAGGGGGGTCAAGGTTGGTGGGGGCAGGAGGAGAAACTGAGGCTCACCGATCCCTGGCAAACACAGGAAGCTGGTAGATGGCTGTTGAGTGAATCAAGGTTTCCCTAACTGATTCCCAGCTTCCAAGAGAGCAATAATGGTGGCGGATGCCAGAGTGGCCTCCTGGTCGACCTCTTTCCTGTGGCCCTGCTATTGGATTTTAATGCCCAAAACATCTACTAGATCCCCTAGAATAGGACTGCCTCCCCTCAGGTCCCCCAGGGCAGGCCATGCCCTCTTTTGTCCCCTGCAGAGCCAGGCCAGGTCTGCTCAGAGCACCCCCTCCTGCCAGAGTAAGTTGTATCCCCCTATCCCCTCCAGGACATGGTTGTATCTACTCAGGAGCCCCCACCCTGGGGCCATGTCCTCTCTGGATCCCTGAGCTTCATAAAACACAGGCGCCATTCATTTTTCAGCTAATTACAAAATTCTAACAAAACAATGTGTGAGCCAAGTCTCAAATGAACATCTCCAATAGGATGGGTCAGACCTCACAGCCCCGTGCAGACGTTTGGGAAACCTGCCTGGATCTTGCAGATGAGACTGGGCAGAGGTGGTGGGCGGGGGTGGATGTGGGGTGCTGGGGTGCTCTGGAAGGAAAAAGCTATGGTGGGGATCAGCTACGCTAAGGGTTTGGTATCCAAGGACTGAAGCTTGGAACTTCTTCCGAACAGTCGGCTGTTAGTCAAAGGCACTTGCCTGCGTCTACGTTTCAGGAAATTGCTTAGAGCATGCAGGTGATGGGCAACACTCTATAATTTTTTATCACCGGAAGTCATGGGAAACAGGCTCCGGTGAGAATTTTCCCCGAAGACCAGCTGGTTTTCAGCAACATGTGGACAATTAGGGCAGAAAATGCTCAATTTCTCACAGTTTAGGGGCAGCAGCACCCCCTGGTGGCAAACACAGGAAACACCCGCGGTGGCTATCAAGCCTTTATGAGATGGGCAGATGCTCTAGGGAAGAGTGGGTCCCAGGGGAAGCTGGGACCTAACCTCCAGCCCAGATGAGGGAAGGAGCAAGGGTCTCAGGGCCTGGGACTCCTGTCTCTACCCTACAGCGCCCAGTTTCTTGTGTTGGCCTATGGGGAATGTCTATTTTCCCTCCACTGGGCATCTACATACCTTTTTTAAGAAAAAGCACTCCGTTTTCCTTTGGGGAGCTCCCTACACTGAAGTCATATAGTTCTTGAGAGTCAAACCCCTGACTCACGTATCACACATCGTGATCTGTTGAGGGGCGAGCATATAACCCAAATATGTCCAGTGAGAACCAGGCCTGGGCCTTTCTTGCTGTAGCTATTGGGAAGAAAGCATTTTCTTTTCACTGGGGCTGCTCAGTGGTCCGTAGCATATCAGCCTAGCATTTGGGTAGGTGGGGGACATCTCTGTCTCTGGTTGTAGGGGAGGTTTCTTGCAAATAAAGCTTCTCTCCATTCAAAAGCAGATTTTGGAGCAGAAACGAGGCAGTCCTGATGAAAAATATTTGAGCAGCTGGATCCAGCAGTACCTGAAGCCACTTGCTCCAGAGCATTTTCAGTTAAGTGAACCAATTAATTTTTTTTTTCTCTTAAGCCAAGGGGAATTGGAGGATAATGCTCCCTGCCTGATTTGTACCAGTCCCTAATTTCTCCCTTCCCTCCCAGACAAATGTCCTCATTGCTATTTACACTTGCAAACTCAGAGGCCATGTTAATCAAAACCATCTTTATTATTTAAAGAGCATCCTGTCATCATGGGCACCTAGATGGGGGTCCCCAGATGGCAGAACAATATTTACATGGGGGTCAGGAGGGTGAGGCTCGGGTGTTCCCAGGGCTGAGTGGGCCCGCCACTGTGGAAGAGAGGAGCCTGGAGGGAGGGTATCCTTGGACCTGTGGGCTCAGCCCAAGAAGAAAAACGTCCCATTCCGGGCCCAGGGTGAACCCCATCAGGTGAGGCTGGAGCCACCTAGATGAACTTGGGCCCTGGAGGCGTGCACATCAAGGAGAAGCCACAGGTCAGAGCTGGGTCACCATGCCGCTGGCTTCGGAGTGAGTCTGGAGAAAGACAACTGGGGGCTTCTGAGGTCTGAGAGGCTTCCCCAGTCCCACGGCTAACCTCCCCTCCCCACAAGCCCTTGGAAATCCATCTGTCCCCTGGCCTGAGCACAGGTTTCCAGAAAACCCCTGCCTCCTCCCCACTCCCCATTAGAGTCCCAAACACTCCCACCCAATGGCCCCCATCTGGGCCCAACGTTCACCTTTATGGCCTGGAAGATCCACTCCCGGAAGTCACTGACTTTGGTGTAGACACCTGGTTTCTGGGCCAGGGCACAGCCGGTGCCCCAGCTCACGATGCCACACAGCCGCCAACGTGGCGTCCGAGAGATGCTGTCCTCACACACGAAGGGGCCGCCGCTGTCACCCTGGTGGGGGCAGGGGAGGCCTGGCTGGAGGCTAAGAGGGCATCTGGGAGGCCCTCTGGGATGGCCAGGGGCGGTGGTCACAGAGCCATGTGGCCCAGAGAGAGGGTCCCCGGCCACCCACTGCCTGGTGTGTCCATCCCTGGAGTGGCAGGGGCTCGGGGCCACCGCGCACAGTCTCACCTGGCAGGCATCAATGCCACCCTCAGGGAAGCCGGCACAGAACATCTTGGGCTTGATCTGGTTCGCGTAGAAGTCGGGGCCATTGCAGACCTCATTGCTGATTATGGGGACTCGGGCCTCCTGGAGTACCCCAGCCTGTTGGCCTGGGGGTGTGCGGGCAAGGCTGGCCGAGGCTGGGGAACAGGCGCGGCCCCCTTCCCTCCTGCTGCGCCCCCCACCCCAGGCTCTTCAGGATTCCAGGGCCTCAGGGCCAAGAAACATTTGCCTTTCCAGCCAGACTGCCTTTCCCCAGCCCACTTCCATCTCCCTCTTGGTGGTTCTGCAGGCAGAAGATGGGACTCACCGTAGTACTGCGTGTTGCCCCAGCCAGTCACAGTACAGATCTTGCCATGCACCAGGCCCTGGCCGGCAGCCGGGAGGCACACAGGCTGGATGTATTCTGTGAAAGACCCGGCGGTTCAGCCCCTGTGGGCCTGCCCTGCCTGGGACAAAGCCTCTGTCCCCAGTCTCAAAGGCCCCGACACACCCTCTCCTCTGCTCTTTTAAAACAATCACATTAGAAGCTGCCTACCCTGAGAGCCCACCAGGTCGATGTCATCCTGCCTCACTTCCTCCAAAGTCCTGCCAGTCCAGAGAGTGAAGGGCTAATATTAGCCCATTTCCAGAGGAGGCAGATGAAGCCGAGTCACTTGTTTGAGGTCTCATAACGAGGCAATGACAGAGCTAGAATTTGAACCCACGTTGGCCTGGTTCCCAAGCTCTGCGTTCTTAACCGTGGCCCACAGACAGCCCCCACTCCGCCCTCCCCCAAGAAGGTGACTTTGTGAGAAACAGAAGAAGGCCTCCCTATCTTTAGATACTTGACTTCCATCTGCCAGAAGATCATTATACTTGGTACACAGATCTACACCAACAACAGTGAGAATGGTGCCCCTAAGATGTGATGTCCTTGTGCAGTGCACAACCCACACCGTAGATCCTGGCAGCTCTGTCTACGGCCTGCCTGCTGGAGACTTCACAGGCCTATCATCAGGGCTCTCAGGTATAAAATGGACAGAATAATCATCTCGCTTAGAGGCTGTGGTGAGAAACCGGTGAAGCCCTTTGCAGCATGCTTGACAAATAGGAAATGCTCATGTAACTATTAATAGTAATAAACAATGACAATAGCAATGACTTCTCATGGTAACTGAGTGCTCACTGTGTGCCGGCATTACTCTAAGCTCTGTACTCATATTACCCTTCCTTTTTAAAGATTTTATTTATTTGAGAGAGAGCAAGAGAGAGAGCCTGAGGAAGGGGAGGGGCAGAAGAAGTAGGCTCCCCTCTCAGTGGGGAGCCTGACATGAGGCTCTATCCCAGGACCCCAGGATCATGACCTGAGCTGAAGGCAGACGTTTAACCGACTGAGCCACCCAGGTGCCCCTCATATTACCCTTTTAATCGTCTCGATATCCCTAGGAAGACATTTAATGGATCAGGGAAACTGAGGCACAGAAAGGTGAAGCCAAGATCACATGGCTGGCAAGTACCCCAATCTTATCCCAAACTTTGGGCTCTTACCCCCTTGGCCGTGTGTTTCCCAGCCAAGTGGCTCCCACCCCACCCCTCCATGCTTCCATGGACCCTTCCCTATGTCACTATTTGCAGCCCTTCCCTCCCTAAAGACAAGAATTTGTTTAATTTTTTTTTTAAATGTGTATCATCCCCTTTGATGGAAAACCAGGAACACGGACCATTCAAAAGAAAATAACCATGAAAAGAAGTAGAATGCAGGCCACAGAACAGCCCCAGCAGCAAAGCCTGGGGGTTACAAGCACAGACTCCCGCGCCAGGTGGCCTCGACCCAAATCTTTGCCATTTTCCAGCTGCAGGACTTCAGAGCCACTCTGCGTGGGGACCTTCCCCCGTGTGGGAAAACAGTGTCCTACCAGGATCTGCTCTCCTAGGGCTGCTGTTGGAGCTAAATGCACACAGGCTGGGGACATGCTGAGAACAGGACCAGGCACGCAGGAGGTTGAGCTGTGAGTGTTGACACTACGACATCATCGCCAGGATAGTATTTTATGGTACTTTTTCGTTATTGCTATACTATTGCCTGCTAAAAGCTCATCTACACCCTCTTTGATGACTTCATCAGCACTGTTTTTATGAATATTGTTGTCATGCTGTGGCCTGCAGAGAGTACAGGCTCTCAATCCACTGGCATGCGGTGGAGAAACGCTAAGGACAGCCGAGACCCCAAGGGAGTCTTTCTCCGGGAGAGCAGGGAAAACACTCCGGAAAACTGCAGAGGGAATAACTTCTGATTCCCTCTCGGGTTCGTTAACAGCTGTTAAAAGTTTTCTTCATTGCACTTCACTGTATTTTTTGGTAACAGATTTTCTGAGATGGAATTCACACACCACACAGCTCACCCCCTTCGAGCGGACAAGTCAGTGGGTTTTAAGGGGTCCACGGAGAGTTTAGTTGTGTGCCTGGCCATAGGAAGGTGCCACCATCACCACCAATGATTTGAGGACATTTGGATCACCCCCAAAAAGAAAGCCTGTCTTCTCTGCTTGTCGCCTCCCAATCTCCCTGTCTCCATCCTCCTCCCCACCTCACACCACCCCTACTCCCTGGCAACCATCTTCTCTCTCCCCCGTTCTGCCTCTTCTGGACATTTCCTGTAAATGGAATCACCCAGTGGCCTCTTGTGTCTGACTTCTTTCGTTTAGCACAATGCTTTCAAAGTTGATCTGTTGTGTCACGCATCAATGCCCCATCGTTCCCTCTTAAGGCCAAATATTACTCTATGCTAGAGATCTACCTCATTTAGTCTCTCCCTGTGTCCAATAAACATCTGGGCTGCATCCGTCTTTTGACTGTCACGGACAGAGCTGCCACGAACACCGGGGTCTAAGATCTTACACGCACCCGCGTTTTCCTTTCCTCTGGGCATGTAGCCCCAGGCAAATCCGCTGCAGCAAATGGTAACTCCGTGTTCCAATCCCCTCGAGATCGGTTTCCTGATCACCATGGATTCCTATGACTCGGTCCTCTGTCCTTCCTGCCTCTGGAGTCCCCAGGCCCAGGCGCATCCCCAGACTTACCCGTAAGGGGCAGAGGATTGGACAGGTGGACCAGGGCGATGTCATTGCTGTTTTCCTCACTGTTGGGGTCTCGAAAGGGGAGGTAGGCCCCGTGGTAGATGACTGCCTGCACCCCCAGCTGCAGGCCATGGGGGGAGGCCTGGGCCACAGCGCCGGCAAACACTCGCCACCGAGATAGGACCCGGTTCCGCCTACCAGGGAATAGGAGAGGAGGGAGGCAGCTTCCCCTGGGCGCAGACTTTCCCACCTCGCCTCTCCCCTGCCTCTCCCGCTTGGGGCTGTGCAGGACACTCACTCAGGGAAACAGTGGGCAGCTGTCAGCACCCAGTCCCCAGAGAGCAGGGACCCTCCGCAGAGGTGTGCCCCATCGTAACGAAGACTGACTTGCCATGGCCACTTGCCCAGGCTGGTATCTTGGCCTCCCACGATGCGATCCACAGGCAGCTTCCTTCGGCCACAGTCTGTGGGAGAAGCAGAGTCAGAGGCCGTGGGAGGGTCTGAGCCTAGAAACTTCAGGACATAGCCCCATCCCTGGGGACCTATAGGAACATGGCCCTGCTTTGGGGGACTGAGGGGACACGGACCTGCCACCCTGGGAGAGTCCGAGGACACAGCTCCATCCTCATCGGATCTAAGAAGATATGGCCAGTGGGAAGGGGGAGGATGTCTGATGGGATGAGACCCTGACCTGAGGAGTCTGCGGGAACATGGGCCCAACCTAGGGGAGTGAGGAGGCATAATCCCATCCCTGGGACCCTATGGGGACATGGCCATGCCACCTAGGGGTGTCTGAGAGGACACACACAGCTCCACACTTGTGAGATAAGAGGTGTGTATATTTGGGGGGACGGTGTCCGATGGGACATGGCTCAGCCCTGGGGGGTCTCAGGGAGAGGGTTCTGAGTTTCAGGGTCTCACCTTGGCAGACGGTAGCTAGGAAACGGCCCCTGGGACAGTCACTGTGACAGAAGGATCCGGGCAGGGGCAGAAACAAAAGGGGAGGCCAGTTAAGACAGGAGAAAGGGTCCCAAGAGTGGGTGGGATGGGCATCCCAGCCCGTGGCCCTCCTCACCACACAGAGATGACCTCGAGCAGCCTCCGGGCCAGCGGCAGCCTCCCCTCGTCCACGCAGAAGAAGCCTGACGTGCTGTTGGCGCCCGCAGTCCGCACATCCAGTTCCGAGTGGCTCAGGGCCCTGGGCAGGCAGGGGTCAGGCCTGCTCCTCCCGCCCCGCCCCACCCCGCCCGGCCGCCCTCGGGACTGCCCGGTACCTAAGGAAGCCCATCTCCTCGCAGCCCAGGCCCGCTACCCTGGCGTTGGAGCGCGAGGAGCACAGCAGCCGCCACGTGCCCTCCGTGTCATCGAACACCATGAGTCGGGCGTCGGCCGGGCTGACCTGCACTGCAGGGCGACAGGACGGCAGCCTGAGTCACCTCCCCGCCGCGCCGCCCCCCACCCAGCCCGACCCCATGGAGCTCCAGGTCAGAGTCCCCACAGGGGCCGATAGGAGCCTGGGGTGCACCTGCGGGCGGGAACTCCAGGTCCTGCCTGTCACCTCCTGCTAACTAGAATGGCTGCGCATGCGCAGCACACCTGACCCTTAGCTCGGACATCAGACACCCGGGAGGAGGGAAGCGGTTTCAACCACGCTGCCAAGAGCATGGCGTTTGAGGCTGGAGCTGCTGGGGGCATTCTTTCCCCCCATGTGGGGAAAAACAAGCCAACATGGAGGAAAGCCAGGGGATGTCTACCCCTCGGTGGTGGGAGACCCAAGAGACCCCCAGAATGGTTGGATAAGTAAGTGAATTGTTTCCCTTGTTATTTAACCAGTTTTCTCCTTTTGTCTTATGCAGCCAAAGACCCTTGACTAACACCTCAAATGGCCAAAATTCTTAGATACCTAGTCTTTTTTTTTTTTTATCTTTTTTTAATTTCTTGGTAGATACTTAGTCTTTAAAAAAGAAAGAGGAAAAAAGGGAAAGAAAAGCTATCTTTTCTGCAGGACTTGTCCGAGCCTTGAATATTCTAAAGTGCAATTCTCCAAGCTGAGCATGAGGTATTCGTTCATTCACTGGCTCACTCGTTCATTCATTCACGGGGTAATAAGCGTTCACTAGACGTATACCCCATACCCAGCCCTGCGGGTGGGTGATGCTGGAGGCACAAAGATGACCAAGACAGCCCTGGGCTGTGCCCTCACCAAGCCAAAGTCTAGGACTGGGGGAGACAGACAGCAATAAAAAAAAGTCACTCAGCCAAACACATCATCGCAAACTTTGAGAAGAGGGGGGATGCGGATACAGGAAGGCTGGAGAGCACTGAGGGCTTCCTTGCATCTGGGGCTGGTTGTGTTGAAAACTGCCGGTCCTCTTAGCTCGTCCCAGGCTGTTCCCCACGCATGGCCAGAGGACCGTCTCTTGCACCTAAGCCAGGTCAGTCCTCAGGTGTATTTATCTATATATACTACACCGGCTGGGCGAGGCTCTATTTTGGGCAGTGAAACAAATTGTCACGGCATAAACAAATCAGACAAAATCCCTGCTCGGGGGAACTCCAGGACCGGTTGGTGAGATAGGTAAGAAAAGGTACAAGCAAGCAAAATAGACCCTGCATGTCACAAAATGAGGGGCTGGGGAGACAAAGCCAGCTTGACTGAGGCAGGGGCATCCTGGCGTGCGGGGAGAGCTTGCCGTTTTCCACAGGCGGGCAGGGAAAGCTTCACGGAGAAGCTGGGGTGCGAACATAGATCTGAAGGAGGGGGGCGAGTCTCGAAGGTAGGTGAGGGAACAGAACTAGGCCACAGGAACTGCAAGTGCAGAGATCCCAAGGCTGGTGCGGGCAGGGCAGGGCGGGGTGGGGGAGGCACTGCTAGGAGGGTAGAGGGGAGGGAGGGAGCGAGGGGCAGATGAGCTGGGAGGCAGGCCAGGCTCATGGGAGGACTTTGCTTCTCGGGCAGGGAAAAAGGTGCAGCTCGGGCGGGGGAAAAAGGTGCAGCTCGGGGAGGCTCTGAGCTAGCAGCCCCCTGACCTGACTCAGGTTCCCCTGTGAACCTGCTCCTAGGTGTGAGCCAGGGGCAGACTGCAGGGGGGCGCCCCAGGAGCAGGAAGGGGGTTGCTGCTGCAGAGTCCAGGCAGGGGAGGATGGAGGCCCAGTGAGGGCAGGGTCCATGGGGAGAAGCATTGAGATTCTGGAGACATTTTGTGGGTGGAGCTGATGGGGTTTGCTGACAGACTGTGAAGGAAAAAGAGGGGTCAAGGACAACTCCAAGGAATCTGGCCTGGGCCCTAGAAGGATGCAGCTGCCCTTGGCCAGGATGGGGGAGGGGCAGAAGGAGCAGGTCTGGGGAAAGGCCAGCTGGAACCCCCTTGGTCCTATTCTCCTGAGCCTCGTGCACTGCTGGCGCCCGGATAGCACATTCTAGGAAACCAGATCTAGGGCAAATTCAATTTGGCCTCATCCAAGCTGAGGGGATCTGGACAAGGGAGGCAGAAGTTCCAGACGCAGTTCTAGAGAACCCTGTCTGCTGAGAACCTGCCATGTGCCCAGTATTATGCCTCACATCCTCCCTGCCCACAAACAGCAGGACCTCGCCACACCACTCCAAGGCCACAAAGATCATCCCCCTTCTGATCAGAGGAGGAAAATGAATCTTGGAGAGGTGGGGCGCCTTGCCTAGTATCACCAAGTGAGTGAGCAGCGGAGAGGACTTGCATTCAGGCCTGCGTGACTCCAAACCCCAAGTTCTGGATTTGTGCCCGCACAGCCTCTCCAGTGACTTCCTTACCCACAGCAGTCACTGATCACTTCCCAGCTGCCTCGTTGCAGTCTCGGCCCCCTGCTCTGGGGTTGGGTATTGGCGATGCCAGCGCTTCTGCTAGATGGCACCTCCCACCCCTAAGGCTTGAGTTTGAAACACCAGCTGGGGGTGAAAAGTTTCCAAGTGTTCCAGATAGGGTAAGGTTTTAGGAAAGAAAAGGATCACTTTATGGATATCCTTGGGGGGAGCCAGAGGGAGGGAATGTCAAAGGCCCCCTCCGATTATTTTAAAAGCCACGTTCTGTACCACTGTTTCTCACTTTTCCGCTCTTTATTCTTGTTGGTATTATTTGCAAAAAAAAAAAAAAAAAATGTGTTCTTGGTCATCTGGTTTTGCTTACTGAATTATCTGATATATTTAGAGGTGTGAAAATCCCAGGAAAATGAGGTGGGGATATAGTTTGGGGGTTGTTTTCCTTTATTTGTTTTGTAATTTCCCATCATTTTTGGAAAACCTAAGTACAACTGGAGGGCAGAAGTGCTGGCCTTGGTGGGAATGAGGTCTGAACCACAGCCTCGTTACTTTCCAGCTGGAGGCCAAGGACAAGTTAGTTCAGCTCCATGACTTGTCATGTTCTCAAAGACCTCCTGAGCAACCCTATGGGCAGGACACCATCTGGGGTGGCAAACTCAGGGCTCCCGTCCTCCTGAAATGCCCCAGAAGTCAAGTGTGGGGAGAATTTTACCCTGGGTAACAGGCATGGCCGCAGGGTTGCGGGAGCATGGGGCCTGGGGGTGCGGGAAGGCCTTTCTCAGGAAAGTTAAAGCAGGGTGAGACCTAAAAGCCACATTTACCAAATGGCTCAGAGCCAAGCACTGTATCATCTCTCCTTATAGCTAAGGAGGTTGGGACTCAGGGCAGGACTGGCCTGAGGCCCCAGAGCTCAGCAAAACCTCGAAACTGCTTCTAGGTGTGAGCAGACAAGAGGTGGTAAGCCAAGACCGTGGGGGCCAGGAGGGTCCTTCAAGGGCATGAGAACGGCCCATAGGCTGGACCCTGGAGAGTGCCAGGTGCACGGGTGAGGTGAAGGCCGAAGAGGGGTCTGCCCCCGGGGAGCCCGGAGCCTGCAGGGGCCTGAGACTTTAACCCAGTGTCCGTGGGGAGCTAGGGAGCATTTTCTGGGCTGTGATCCCTCTGGCCTGCTGCTTCTTCAGTGTGTGGTCTTGGGCGAGTCAGTTCCCTTCACTGGGACTCAGCGAACCCCATCTGCAAAAGGGGGGCGATGATGATGGGTCCAAGGTTACAGCGTGGGTGCAGCAGATGGTAGCTGTCGCTATAGTGAGTCACTTGGCTGTTTCTCGAGAAACAGCAGAGTGTAGTAATTCTGCATAGACAGATCGAGGCCTGGGTTCAGATCCCAGAGCTGCCGTTTCCTAGCTCTGAGACCTGTGGCAAGTCGCCGGGCCACGCCTCGGTCTCCCCATATTAAAATAAGCTTTTGTGAAGGTTAATGAATTGAAACCATAAAGCCCCAAGGCCTACGCCTGGCCCCTGTGAGGGGTCGCTAAGTGCTGGGACGGTGACCAGAGCTGATGTAGGCTTTCCCTGTCCGGATTTTCATTTCTCCTCTTAGCATGATCTGAGTCCTTTAGGGAATTAGATGAGGCTCCTGGGAGTGAAAAATACATCCCATCACCCAACTTCCCCTTTCTTCCTGCTGAGCTGGGCCATGGAACTGCAGCTGGGGGCTGGCACCCAGGAAAATTCATCCATTCATTCCCCATTTAGTTTCCACATCTATTATTAGTGTGGCCGTTCATTCTCAGCTGCCTGCAGACACAGCTCTGCTGGGCCTGAGAGCTAGCTATTCCTGGCCTCATCATCTCCCAGCTGTGTGTCCTCTCTGGTCTCACTTTCCACATCTGTAAATGGGGATCATAGCAGTAGCACCCTACCCCCACCCCCGGAGAATGAGGAAGGGGTTGCCAAATTCATACAGCACTTCCCAAACGGGCTCTGACCCTGCCTCGTTGTAAAGAAACACATTTTTATATTTTACAATGTAGCCCCGAACTTGTGCTTTCTGGAGCAAATCACTGCATTGCTCTGAGCCTCAGTTTCCCCCCCGCTGTCAAATGGAGAGAACAACAGCACAGCTCTCATGGAACCGAAAGGAAAGATTAACAAAACTTTTCCGAGCTGAGAGAGATGTGCGGCGGTCTTTTCTAATCTAATCTTCTTCATGTTTCTCATTTTTTTATTTTTTAAAAGATCTTATTTATTTATTTGAGAGAGGATGAGAGAGAGCACAAGCAGGGGGAGCAGCAGAGGCAGGCTCCCCACTGAGCAAGGAGCCCATGTGGGACCGGATCCCGGGATCCTGGGATCATGACCTGAGCGGAAGGCAGACACTTAACGGACTGAGCCACCCAGGCGCCCCTCTCCTTCATGCTTTTTAAGTGTGGTTTCCAGCTCCCTAATTGGATTGCATGAGGCACTAACGGGTAACGCATTTAGAGTCTGGAAAGCACGAGACAAGGTGGAGTGCTTAGAACCGCCCCTGGTCTAGAGCAGGTGCTCAGTATCAGCGCTATCAACATCTCTGCGCATGCTCACACAAGTCACTCAGAAATCTTTCCTTGAGCTCCCACCAGGTTTCCTCCAGGGATCCCCAGAGGGTCCCAGCCTGCTTTACTCACCCGGATACAGCGGCTCTTGATCACTCTTGAGTAGAAAGGTCACTGCAGAGAAGACAGAGGTGAGGGCAGGCAGGCAGGGGGCTGCGGGGGGGGGGGGGGGGGGGGGGGAGAGGCACAGGGGCCACTCTCACCAATGGCCCAGGATGCTGCCCCAATGCCTGTCAGGAGCAGCAGGGTCCCCGCAGTGAGAGCTGCCACCTTGGGTCCGGAACAGCATGGCACCGTCCGGCCACCTGCAACAGACACCACGCCCGGGCGGTTGCCAGGCCTGTCCTCCTCTCGGCAGGGCCTGGGCACGGGGCCAGCTCTGCCCTGCCCCCCTGGGGCTAACAGGACGCTGGATTCTGCCACCACCTGCCCTGGGCCAGGTTTCTCAGGACCCACCCTCTCCTACAGTGTGGCTGACCAGGTGTCCCCAGCGTTCCGCTGGGAAGGGGCGTGGCCAGGAGAGCTGCCACCCGCTCCACCCTCCCCGTGGCACTCCTGGCACTGCGGACTCTCCCTCGCCAGTGAGGCTGCACTTTGCTATCTCCTTCTTTTCTTGAGCCTGTCACTTCTGCTCCCTCTCTCAGAGGTCTTGGAGCCTCCGGGGGGCAGCAAGCCCTAACCTCCGCTCTCTTGGCATCTCACTTCGCTGCTGTTTGGCACGTCCTCACGGCTCCATCCTTCTCTGCTGTCCCAGTCCCTCTGTCCCTGAGCATTCCCCCCAAACCAGCCCTCTCCCACAGTACCCAGCTCTAAAGTCAAAAATGCCCCTGGAAGTTAAGAACCTAAGTTTGAAAAGTTACTGGCCTCACTTAATAAATAGTGGTCTTAGCCCTCCCAACCCAAGACCTTGGGCGGGTGACCTCACAGCATTGAACCTCAGCTTTCTTGTCTGTTTAATGGGCATCCACCTAGCACTCACCTCTAAAAATAATACTTTAAAGTTCTCATAATCATAGTAGCCAAACTCTTATCACAGGCTCATGCCCCCAAGCACTGTCCTCATTTTGGGGGAGGATTCCCATTTGTCAGACAGGGAACATTAGGCTCAGGGAAGTGGAGTGAGATGTGCGTGGGACTCAGTCAGCAGGAGGCAGTGGCGAGTCCTGGAACCCTGGGAGCATGGGGTGCTGCAGCCCAAGCTTATAAGCAAGAAGCCGTGCTCCCCTCCCCGCGCCATAATGCCTGCCAGAGAGCAAGTTGCCAAGAAATGCTTTTACATCATTGGAGCTGTGTGCTCCTGGGCAATACCTTTCACTTTTCTGGGCTTCCTTGGTGAAAAGGAGCTTTGTTCACTCCTTGTCCCACTCTGGCACTGTTCTAGTGTCTGGCACCCCAAGACAGATGAGAGGCTGGCTCTCATGGGGCCCACATTCTCATTCGTGTGAGATTGAGGGGAAAACATAAGCAAGTAAACAACTTGATGGCTCCCAGATGGTGGCAAAGTCTATGAAGAAAGTAATGCAGGTCAGGGCAGCAGGTGGCTTCTGTGGGGTGCTAAGAGGAGGCTCCCCCAAGAAGTGACCTTTGAGCTGAGACCTGAAGGCTGAAACTAGCCACGCAAAGATCCCAATGAAGAGCCCCGTGGGCAAAGGGAACAGCATAGGCATTCTTGAGGCAAGAATAAGAGCATGATCTATTCCAGAGAGAGACTCCAGATAGGGCCAGGATGGCATGAGTTCGGGGAAGGCGGGGACCTAGGCTGAGAGCAGCTGGGTAGGCCGTGTGGCCTGAGGGGAAAGGGGTTTTTATTCCTAGAGCAACAGGGGCCGTGGGGATTAAAAGCTAACCCCTTCACTAGGGATTATGGGAAGGCCAAAGAGGAAGGGCTCCCAAGAGTCTACAGCTGGGTCCGGGGTGTCCCTAGCCTCTGCAGGACATCCCCAGGGAGGCGGGAGTCCCAGGTCCTTGACCTGTATCGCAGTCCTACAGCTGGTGGGCACAGGGCCAGACCAGCACCCAGAATGGAGCAGGGCATAATCTGGGATCTTCCTGGGGTGGCCATTGTCCGGGTGTCTTAAGAATTTGAGAACGCTGCAGTTCCCAACAAGGTGAGAGAAAACAAATACACCCTCCTTCCATAGAAGAGGCCACAGGGGGCCAGGCCAACCCTGGCCTCCCGCCCACCTGCCAGCTCTGTCCCCAGCCATCTTCCTGGTTCCGGTGGGAGGTCCTGGCTCCTGCAGCCATTAGGCTGGTCCTGGTCTCTTTGTTTTCAGGTGTGCCCGTCAGAGCTCTGGGCCACTCCGAGCCCAGCCCAGAGGCTTTGGTGCCTCTGCTGGGATGGCGAGCATTGCCACTCCAGGAGAAAGACCTCCTTCCACACCTTCTGAGTCAGGGGGCTTTGGGCAGCCCTCAAGCAGGTGTCCCGGATAGGACAGCAAGTGTCCCCACTCTGGGTCCTCCAAGTGCGAGGGTGCCCCCACCTTAGATCTTCAGCCCCCACCATCTGGCTGCTAAATCCTCACAGGTGACATCTTGGGCTCCTTGTCCCTGAAGTTCCGCTCAGTCAACAGCTCATGTCTCAGCCCTCAGTGTCCCCAACTCCAACTTCCCGAATGAAAGTCTTTCCTTTGGCCTCTGGGACACCGCATGCGTCCGGTTTTCCTTCCACTTCTCCAACCCACTTACTCCCTCTCCTGACCCTCTTCCAACTCCCTGAAACCTGGAGTTCATAGGATGGGACGTGGCTTCCTCCCCCTCATTCCCCCTGGCTCCCAGGTCTGACTCACACACCTCCACAGCCTCAATTTCCCTTTTCTATCCTGCAGGTTCGTAGATACCTCCCCCTGGGACCCTCTGGGTCCTTCACATCCCCCAGGTCTCATACTGGCCTCAACGTCCCCCTGAGTCCCCAGGTCCCGTCTCAGAGGCCCTCATCCTCAGGACTGTCCCTCTTCTGCAGGACACCTCCCGCCCACACAGCTTGCCCTCCCTGAAGCCCGCAGGTCTCCTGAGCAGATCCTGTCAACCCTCTCCTTCCCTGTACCCAGCCCCACCTAAGCCCTGGGCTCAGCCTCCCCTCTGGTCAGCCTCCACACGGAAGCCTGATGACCGTCCTAAGCACCAAATCCGCTCTGCCCCTTCTTTACCTCGAAGCCTCCAGGACTCCCCAGTGTCCCCAAGACAGAGTCTAAGACCCTCAGCCCTGTGCTGCCAGCCTATCTAGGATGTAAGCATGGCTGTTAGAGGTTTGGGAGTCAGAACCTATGTTTCCCCAAATTCCCAGACAACCTTATGGGTCATTATCAGGCCCCTGACAGAGCTTCCAACAAGCAACCAAACCCACAGAACTTGTAAAAATACAAGCCAGAATAAGAGCAACAAAGAATGACTACCAGCGCCATCTTGTGGAGACACCTGGCACTGCCGGCGCCTCAGCGGGCCCTTCACCAGCAACAGTCCCGAGGGACCGGCTCACTCCCCTCATCACTTTCCCCAGCTCCACTTCCCACATGGCCTCTAGAAATACCTGAATTCTCCATGTGCCCCTGCACACCTGGCAGCTGGCTGCCCTTCCCTTTGCTGGGCACCCCCTACCTAGTCCCAACTCACCCTGGGTGTCAACCTCCTCCAATTCCAAGTCCCCAGGGAGCCCAAGAACCTTGTCTCCAAGTGAACACAACCGGCTTGCAGCCCCCGCATAGTCCTGTCCTGCACCTTCCTTCCAGCCTCACAGCAGGTGTTAATAAGGAAGGTGTCATTACCGCCATTCCCGGCGTGCAGATGAGGAAAGGAGACCCAGAGAGGCACAGCCACCTACCCAGGGTCACCCAGCAAGTAAGCAGAGCACCAGAACCTTTGCATGTCTGGGTCCAGGTTTGATCACCGGCTCCAGCCCTGACAGCAGGACGCAGCCACGGGGCCAGGCCAAGCTGCCTGGAAAATGCACCACAGCCCACTCGCCTCAGTTCTCTCTGTCCCCAGACCATCTCTGGCCATCCTTCAGGGCATGATCTGCTTTTCTCCCTGGTTCATTCTTGCAGTGGCCGGGGCCGGGGCCCTACAGACTCCCTTCAGCCAGCTCCAGGAGGAAAATTGTCCCGAAGGGTCTAGGCTCTGCCAGCCACCTGCTCACCAAGGGCACAGTGGCCCCCCTCCTAAACCACTGGGAGCCTGGGTTTGCTCTGGGCCCTAGCTGTGTGGTCTGGGACTTGATGTGCTAACTGCTAGAGCCCAGGAGGCCAGTGATCCACATGGCTCATTTCAGCCAACACAACCAGCACTCCCGGCCTCTCATGCCCTTGAAACCTTCACATCACCCTGGCGGGGTACAGTCACCCCAGATCCATTTTCCAAATGAACACTGAGACCCAGAGAGGGTGAGCCCCTCCAGCTGGCTCCCCAGGGAGGTGGAGGTTGAGAGGGAGACAAGCTGTTTGGAGTCTACCAAGGGCCCCTCAGGGCCAGCCACCCAGGCAGCCGCTCTGCTCCCATCATTCCTGGAGCAGTTTCTCTGCGCTCTCTCCTCTCCATCCATCCCAGCTGAGTCCAAAGTCCTCCCTCTGCTCTTTTGCCCACAATGCTAAGAGGTGGGAGGAATGTCTGGAATTGGTGGGGGTCTTGGGTCCCTGGGACACAGGCTGGCTGGCCTCGGTCATGATCATGACAGCTCTGGTTCATGGCCTGTGTCTCATGTGCTAAGCCCCTCGCCGGTGCCTTAGTGTGGATTCCATGCTCCCAGCAAGCCCTGTGGGTCGCTAGGCAGGTAGCCTTAGGATCCATGCATGACCCAGGGTGCGGGGGAAATGGAGCCCAGGGAAATGACATCACTTGTGCAAGAGCACACAGCTAAAAAGTGGCGGAAGCAGATTTGAATACAGGCCTCCAGAGTCTGTGTCCATAACCATGATAGCTGGTCTTCCCACCTTAGCCCCAATCGGGTACAGGTCCGGGGTTAGCTAAGACATCACTGGGATGTGAGGGGAAACTGAGGCAAGGAGCCAGGAAGGTCGTATGGTGTAGGCAGGAAGGCAGGTGGTGGCACAGCCCCACAGAAAATTTGGTTAATAGTTAATCGGGTGGAGGAGACTTCAGAAGGGGGTGGGGATGCGCTCAGGAGGGGCACCAGAGAGAGGGGGGCTCTGAGAGGGCAGAGGGTTGGGAGCAGAGCACAGAGGGAGGGGTGCCAGGCTGAGCCAAAGTTGGGACTCAAGGAAAAGGGGACTCACCCTCCTTTTCCGCCATGTCACGGACTCTTGTTAATGATTCCCCGGCTGACCTCCCGGGCCGGGGTGGGACCTGTGGGGAGATGAACAGAGAGGCAGGGCCTGGGGGAGCCGAGCCCAGCCCCGGTGCCCCCAGTCCCAGGCGCCCATCCAGGGAGGCTGGACAGACTGGGCCCTGGCCAGAGCACGCCGTGATCACGGACGCAGATCAGGCTGGGTTCAAGGATGGGGTCAGTGTCTGACCAGCAGCCAGGGGACTCCTGGATTTGCAGGGGTGGGGGCCCCTTTCCTGGGCCTGGGGGAGGAGGAGACCGAGGGTCTGAACTCCCAGCTCTGAGGAAGCAGAGACACCTGGGGGCCTGAACTCCTGGGTCCTGGGGAAAGAAGGATTTGGGGGCTCAGAACAACTAACTGGGTATGTGGGAGGAGGGGCATAAGGGCCCAGACTCCTGAGTCTGAGGGAAGAGGAGACCTGGGACCCAATCTCAGAGTCTGAGCAGGAGGCAGCTGGAGCTCCGAGGTCCTTGGAGAGACGTCTGAGAGCCCACTCTTGGGGTCTCCAGGAACCCCACTATTGGGAGGTGGGCATTAGGTTGTGTGGGGACGAGGGCACCCGTACCTTGGGCCTGGAACTGAGGGCCCTGGTCCTTACCCTGGGGTCCGGCAGGTGGGGCCGCAGCTGAGAGATGGTGCCCTCTTCGGGTCAGTCTCCGGGCCTGGGCAGGAGCATGGTGGCCCACGGCAGCGGTGGCCCGGAGGCAGAGGCAGCGGCGTGGGGCCTGCTAGGCCTGGCTGCCTCACCTGAGGAGGAGGGGGCCGGGCGGGAGGCGGGGGAAGGGGCGGGGAGGGGCAGGGCAAAGGGATTGGCAGCACTGGAGGCCACCTTGCAGGCGGGGCAGGGTTTGCAAGGGCTGGACCTGGCTGGGCCCGCAACCTCATCGCCTCCCTCCTGCCTGGAGGGGGCCCAGGTGTGCCATTCTTAGGGGAGGGGGGAGCTGGGACAGGTTTGGCCTGAAGGCAGGGGCTTTGGGCAGACAAAGCAGGCTGGGAGGGGTGGGGGGGGGCGGGGTGCTTACAAGGACTGAAGTGTGGGTCTTTGAATTGGAGGGAACCAGATATGGGGCCCCAGCTGCCCCAGCCCACCCCGCTCCTGCCACTTCTTCTGCCTCCGGCCCAGCCCCTGCCTTACCCCTGCCTTACCCATATTGGCCCCAGCATACGGGCCCCAGCTCAAGCCTAGCTCCCTCCCTAGCCACCCCTGCCCCTTCTAGCTCGCCACCCCCATCCCCAAGCTGAACTCAGGCCTACCACTGCTCCCTGCCATTTCCTGTCCCCATGTCCAGCTCCTGCACAAGGCCATCCTGGTCCCTGCCCCAGCCCTGGCCCCAGACCCCACCCTCCCCCAACTTCGCCCCAGCCTCAGCCCCAGCCCCCTCCCCCCAGCTGCCTTCCTACAAGTCACGGGGGCTGGTTTGCTTTGGCAGCCTCTCTGCTGCCTGCAGCCGTGACCTCTGGAGCCTGGAAGTCCTGCATGTGGGGGGGAAGGGGGGGCTTGGCCCGGAAAAGGCAGCACCAAGCGCTGAGGTCCAGGCCAAGGGGCCGGAAGTGTCCACAGGAGGATACACACTGTCCCGCCAGCAGCCAGGAGCGATCCACGTCAGACCCCAGGGCCAGATAAACACCCAGACACACAAGGGTCACGGGCAGCCACCTGCTAGCGGACAGCCATGCACCCAAACACAGACGGCAGCTGCTCACCTCACGAGCAGAGCCATAGCCTCCCACAAGGGCTCCTGCTGGGCGGGGGGTGCTGGAGCTGCCAGCCCCTAGTCTCTCTCTGCCACTCCCTCTACCTGCATCTTCCTCTCCTTCCCTCACCCCTCTCCAGCTCCCACCGCAGCAGAGAGAGCCACCCTGCTAGGAACTCAGCAAACCCCCAAACTCAGGCATCCCCTCTCTTCCCTCCATGCCACCCTTCCCTTCCCTGCTGCCCCCGTGACTCCTCTCTGGCCCCCTCCCACCCTCCTGGCTGCGCTAATGACATCCCCCACCCCGCCCCCGCTAATCAAGTGCTAAGTCGATGAGAGTCACCCACCTGTTCCTTTGCCCTCCCTTTCCCTGAATGTGCACCCAAAAGCGGGTTGGGGTCGGGGGAACCAAGGCTTTGGGGAGGGTGACAGGGCTCGAGAGAGAGACTCTGAATCAAGTCCAAGAATCTTTATTTCATGAACAAAACTACTTGTGTGAAGAGAAAAGAGGCTGAATGGGCCTTTCTAAGTGGCCCCAGTCCAAGGCTGGTGAGAGAGGGCAGGGCAGGGCCGGGGCAAGAGTGCATCACAGGGAGAGGGGACCCCAGGTCCAGCCAGAGGAAGGAGGGGAAGTGTCGCCAGAGGTCTTCGGTCGCAGTGGGTCCCAGAAACCCCCTGCCCCAAACTGTGCCGCCCCATCCGGACCCCCCCCCCCCGCCGCTGGGTTGGGGAGGAGGCAGGGGGGGCTGGGCCCCAGTAGTGTGCATCTGAAGCGGCCAATGTGTGCAAATCAGCAAGAAGGAAGGGTGCGGAGCCGCTGCCCCCGCCTCACCGCCCTCCTCCTAAACAGGCAGCAGAAGCAGGGGTGGGGACAGGGGCAGTATTGCTTTACCCATCATGCATGGCGCGGGTGGGCGATGGGGCAGGAGGAAGTAGGCCGGATTGGGGGTGTTGTGAGCCAAGCCCCCCGCCCCCTCCCACCCAGGCGGCTCCGTTGGCAGGACTCTGAGGCTCGTGGAGGTCCAGGAATGGCCAACCCCCATTGGGGGCAGGCTGTGCCCAGATGTTCCCCATCAGGGCTGGCTCTTCCTTGAGGTGGAGCCCAGGGCCTGAAGGTGAGGGAGAGGCAGGTGTCAGGGATCCAGCCAGCTGACCCCCGCCCAGGCCCTCAGGCCCCCTGTCCACCCACCTACCTTACCGGGGCTATTCAGCCACCTGGACACCCGTACAGTTCTCCTTGCTTTCTGAGGTGATGGCCAGGTATTCCGAGCTGTAGGGACAAAGGCCAGGGGTACAGTGACCAGCATCATCAGTCTGGCCCACCCTGGGGGAAACCGAGGAAGGTGGGGGTCTCTGCCCCAGGTGCACAGGGTTTGGAGTTAGAGAGGTGGGGACTGTGGACTGGACATCCAGGGATCCACGGGAAGCCCAGGCATGAGGCCTGGAGTCCCGGGTCTGAGGCAGGAGGGGACTCAGGGAGTCAGACTCTGGGTCCTGAGGGGAAGGCACTGGGGCCCGACCTTACCCATCCACGACAGCAGATGGACGTACCCCTCTGGGAAACCCGCGTGTCTGGGTCACCTGACCCCACCCCCACCGGCGCCACTCACGCGTTCTCTTGTGCGGCGGCCTCAGTGGCCGCAGCGATCTTCTTGTAGCAGTAAACCATCTCTGCCACGAGCCATATGGTCAACACCACGATGAGCACATACATCATGATCTCCGACACGATGGACGCCATGTCTCTGTTGGCTGCAAGGGCAAGCAGGGTCAGGGGGCCATCAAGGCCAGGCTCAGGAAGCCTGAGGTGACCCAAGCGTGCGGGGTATGAGCCTGGCCAAGTGACCTGGCCTCCCTGGGCCTGGTCTGCCAACAGGACCATGCTGCTTCCCTAGAGTCATCGTTGTTACCGTCACTCCTGTTTTCTTTTAGAGCCCAGTGTGGGGCTTGAACTCACAACCCTGAGATCAAGACCTGAGCTGAGATCTCGAGTGGGATGTTTAACTGATTGAGCCACCTGGGCGCCCCATCACTGGGATTCTTAATAACTAACCACTGTCCAGGGGCTTTGGGATCCCCCTTAGCCTGCCGCCCTGTGTGGCTGGAGGGGGCATCTGTTTCATTCAGGCGGCCGCAGGTTCCCCGGGAGCTGCAGCTTTGCAACCAGAAGGCTCGGATTCAGATCCCAGCTCTGCTACTTGCCAGCTGTGTCACCTTGGGCAAGTGATTCAACCTCTCTGAGCCTCAATTCCCCCTCTGTAAACCGGAAGTGACAGTACTCATGCCTTCTCATGGGGTTACCAGGAAGAGAAAGCAAATTAATCCCCGTAACACGCATGGACGGGCTCACGCTCTGCACACTGCCTAAGTGTTGGCTATTCACCGACATTTCCCGGAAACCTTCTGTCCTTTCCACGGCACTGGCTCTTGCCATCACCAGCTTCCTCTCACTTAGCCTAAATTTAAACTGTGGAGGGGATGTGCTCAGCCAGGGAACCAGAAGCGAAGGCCACTGTGACGTCCCTGGCCGGATTTCACAGGTGTGCGCCCCATATTCCTGGGCCTCTCCTTCCGGGTGGCCAGGATCTCCTTTGCCCCCGCTGTCCTCACATGGTCTTTCCTCCCATCAGTGGGCACTCTCTGCTGCTCCAGCCCGTGCAGATGGCACCGACGCTTTCTGGGCCAAAGGGAAAGAGGGCACAGGGCTGGGTGTTTCTCCCCTGCTTCTCTGCCAGGAGGAGCTGGTGCAAGGACTCACACCTCATTCATTCATTCGGAAGTTCGGAATGCGTGTCATACAGAGAACGCATGCTTCCAGCCAGGCTCTGTGCTAAATTCTTTATATGAGCATCTCCCTGCATCTCTGAAACACCCCCAAGGATAGAGAGAGTGCTGGCTTCCCACATCAGTTGACCTCAGGAAGCACACTGAGTTGGACTGTTGCTGGGCAAAGCACGCATCTTCAGAATTCTCCTCCCTGCTCCTGGAACTCGGTGCTCTGATGGAGTTAGGTAATCTGGTATCTCCTGCTCTCCCAATCAGATTAGGACAGTGACTGGCATGGCTCTGCAGCCCATTTTCCAGACAAGGACACTGAGGCTCAGAAAGGGGACGGCTCTGGGCAATGACGCACGGCCCAGGATCGGATTCGGAGCCGGGATTCAACTCCAAGTGTAACTGACTGCAGGCTCTGAGCTCTTCCCTGCTCTGGAAACAACCACAGCCAAGGAAACATTGGGTAAAGGGCGCTGTATATCCAACGTAGACTCCACCAAGCCACACAGACATTTCAGGAGGCGGGACTGTCATTCCCCCATTTCACAAAGGAGGAACTGAGGCAGAGGGGTCACTGTGGTGTGACGAGTAATGTTAAAAATACTACAATATGCTGGCTAACAATGAATACAGTAGAACAAGTAAAACTTTCAAATACTACAGTATGATTAATTTGAAATACTATAGCATTGTGGGTAAAGATAAAAATACTCTAGTACGATGGACTATGATAAAAACACTGTTGTATGTTTGGTAATGTTAAATAGTATAGTATATGGTAATATAAAATACCATACTATGGTGATAAGAAAGAAAAACCACTAGAGTATGTTGGATACTCCCATAGACTCTGGGAGGTAGTAGAATATGCTAGATCAAGTTTAAATGGGGCTCTGCTGGGTCCGGGGTATGCTCCATCCCTAGCCTCCAACCCTCAAGGGCAGAGCGCAAGAAGCAGTAGGACGGAAGGAACCAGGGAACCTCCCTGCTCTCCTGACCCCCGGCCTCTGCACTGATTCCCAAGACAGGATTGACACAGATTTTTGTGAAGCCACAGGATTTGGGGGCGTTTCTTGTTCCAGCCTCTCCCAGGGGCGGGGCTCCGTCTTCCACATCCGTGCGTGGCCGCCCACCCAGCACCGTGACCTACAGCAAAGAGGAGCTCAGACTTGTCTCCTGCGCTGAATCCTGCTGGTTCACTTTGATAACAAACGTAAAAATGCTAATTATCAAAAGAAACCCACAGACTCTGGCTGACAGCAGAGAGTAGTGAAGCACGCCAAGAACAGAAACGGCAGTCA